TTCGCCCCCCCCCCCCCCCGCAGGCCTGGCAAGTGCACAGACCTTTTCTGACAGGTTGTAGCAGAAGGTTTTTATAAACCCTTTTACTTTCTTAAATTCCATTTTGCTTGTTTGGCAAAGGTATGATGCCCTCCATGAGCCAAGTTTTATCCTGTCTTTGCCCGATAAAAGAGTTCGACCTTTTCTGACAGGTTGCAGCAGAAGGTCTTTAGAAACCCTTCTGCTTTCTTTAATTCCATTTTGCTTGTTTAGCAAAGGTATGATGCCCTCCATGAGCCATGTTTTATCCCATCTTTGCCCGATAAAAGAGTTTTCGAGAACTCAAAAACTTATCTTATGCATAGCTTTTTACTGATGTAATGAAGGTTTGTCCCAGCACCTTGAACTTAGCTTCACCTCTCCCATTGTTCTTGAGTACGAAGTTGGATAAAAACCCATGTGGCCATTCCATCTATTTGGAGGCTGCATGTTTAAAGTTATGCAGAATTATTTATGTTAAGATGTGCATAAGCAATTTTGAATGCTTCTGTTGTGGATGAACACGGGCAGAATGCTCATGGTGATGGGCGGTTAATTAGCTGAATGGTGATTGGTTGATTTCATTGGAATTGTCTGGAAGGGTAGTGGACATTGAGATGTTACTGTTCAGAGCAAGGGTTCTCAACCTTGGGTCTCAAGATGCTCTGGGACTAAAACTCCCAGAGGCCTTCACCACTGTCTCTGCCAGTCAGGATTTCTGGGAGTTGTAGTCCAAGTACATCTGGATCCCCAAGGGTGGGACACAGCAAGGGTGAGAGACAGAAGCCTCGTGGCGCAGTGGTTAAACTACTGCACTACAGCCAAAACTGTGCTCATGACCCTGGGTTTTATCCCGGGTAGCCGGCTCAAGGTTGATTCAGCCTTCTATCCTTCCAGGTTGGTAAAATGACTACCCAGTCTGGGGGGTGAGGCAATGTGTAGCCTGCATAATTAACTTGTAAACTGCCCAGAGAAAGCTTTAAGCACTATGGGGTGGTATATAAGCACACATTCATTCATTCGTTCGTTCGTTCGTTCGTTCGTTCGTTCGTTCGTTCGTTCGTTCGTTTTGTTGTTGTTGTTGTTGCTTTAGCAGTACCAATCAACAGTAGATTAGAATTCAGGCAGGTTCTCAACTCTACCTTTAAGAAAAGTCACATGGAAAAGAAAAAAAGAATCCCCCTTCCTGTCTCCTGCTTCTTGGAGGAATAGCCGGCTTTACATTTTTTTAAAGTAATGTAGCGCATCAGTGCTACTCTAATATAGTGTAAAGAATTTTTTTAACTTCCTATGTTCTTCCACAGAGCAGAGGAAGTGTTTATTTTGCCAGTAAAGTGAAGTGGCTATCTATGCGAAATCAAAAGTAGAAAGAGCGACCCCGAATAGGGTTGCTTAATGTGTGTATGCCATTTGGATTGAAAGATGGCACCAGATGGCATGCCAGAACTCTATCCGGCTCCAAGTGACTCTTTTTAGGCTGCACCAGCCCACTTCAAATGAGCCCATGTAGATAAGCCCTAAATCTACCTTAATTCCCAGAGAAAAGGAGATGGAACTCGAACTACAGAGGGAATTGGAGGAAGAAAGAGAAAAGAGGAAAAGGAAATAAAAGGAAAACAAGCAGTTAAAACTGTGCCTCAGATTGTTGATTGGGCTAAACAGAGATGATGGGATTCCAGAACCTCTGAGGAGAAATAATTTAAAAACAGCTAAATCTGGGCTTCAGAATGGCAAAAATAAAAGAAGTGTTACACCTACACACAATGAGGGCTTTAAAAGTTTGTTAAATCTTCCATAATTCATGAGGGAAGTGAGTCTTAACTGTGGAAATAAAGAATAGTTTAAGTTTCAAGGCACTAGTCCTTGGAGAGGGCAAAAACTACTTAATCACTTAGTAAAGTTTGTTATAAACAACTTAGGCAGGAGGAGAATTGTTGAAAGAAAACGAAAGAACCAGGAGGAGTGAAAAGAGTCAATGGAATGAATGTTAGCTTCCACTTCCTAGCAGAAGAGCTAAGTGATTTCATGTGTGAAGATTCAGAGGAGTGGAGTTTTCATTCTGATGCTATGACTGGGCACGTGAAGTTGTCAAGGACTGTGAACGTGGCCAACGAAAGCAAATTCCTGAATTAGCTTTTAGAACAGAGCTTGACAAATCAAAAAGAGGCAGTGGTCAGAAATAGGAATCTTTTGCCAACTGAAAAGCTGTGACCCCTTTAGATACGAAAAAAAATCTCAGAGGACAGGTTTCAGAACTGGCATTTCACACCGTCGCGTTGTAAAGCCAAATCCCAAAGAAGATGAGAACTCTCTACAGACAGAACCGAATGTGCACATGAGCCAGCAATCTTAATGATTATCTAGGGATGAGCCCTGCAAACCTTCCTTAGATGTGAAGGATGCTTTGGTAGCCATAGAAATTTCAAAGGGCTGTGAACAGCAAGACAAAAATAAAAGAAAAGGGCATGCTCCTAAAGCAGAAACTTAAGAATGGCATTGGCAAACAACACTTTGAAAGCAGTCCTCGGGCCAGAACACTGTGCCCCCCACAGTGGGTGGGTGGGTAGTCAGAGTTTCATCTTCTGTTTTTGTTTTTAGGCAAGATGGATTGCAAACACGGCTACAGTCTTGAAGGACAGCAGCCTTCTCCTTATTGATTAGAGAAGCCTCTGCACATTAGGAAGAGGTCCAGCAGGAATTGAACACATGTATTTGACTGCTAAAGTTAAAATAGAAATAAGCTACAGGCAAGAGAATTGCCTGCAAAATTTCTTACCTTCTGGAACTGGTTGACATATGCCTGCCCTGGAAATCCGGCTGAATGCCAGAGTTTCCTGGGAACCACTATTTGGCGTCTAAGCTAAGGAACCTCCGCTCATGTCCAGTGTAACAATTCCCAGAAGTCTTGGTTGATCGCTAAAAAGCATTGGAAGAAATAATTAATGCGGACACACCTTTCCTCTTTAAAATCTTGACAAGTTTTTTTAAAATTTCTGGGTCCTTTTAAGGAGAAAGGCAAGGTAAAAATGAATGAATGAATGAATTTCATGGAGAAGGTGCCTTAATGTGTTCCTGTTCTTATCTTTACAGAGCCCACCATCAGTGTGGTCCATGAGACCCGTCTCCGCAACGCTGGCTACATCCAAAATCCATACGACCTGCCCAGAAACAGTCACATCCCCTGTCACTATGACATTCTCCCTGTAAGACACAGCCCAACACACGGGACTCTTTGGGACAAGCAGTCTTAAAGGGCTGCGTCATGTTCCCCCATGACGACGCCCCTATGAACACTGCTCTCTGAACAAGGAGATGACAATCCTTTTTGCTTTGTTTTGCTACATGCTGGAGAAAAAAACAAACCCAAGACGGTCCACACAACAAACGTAAAGGGACACTCATTTTGGGCCACCTTCCTTCTGCATGAAACTCTTATTTTACAAGACCGTTTTATACAGATCACAGGAAAACAAAGAAAACTATGTATAACTACGGGGGGAGAGAACCGGAAGCCATTGGACTCGAGTCCACAATATTGGACAAAGTATGTTTTCTTGACTTGATTTTGCTTTTTACATTGTTGGGATGGGGGTGGACAGATACAAAACTTCCTAGCTGCAAGCGTTTATAGCTGCATCTGTACTATACTCTCACCTGCTTAAAGAGATCATTTACTTCTTAAAAACAGTGTTCAGAAAGATGTTGGAATAAGTTGCATCGCCTCCTGTGGCTGCAAGGACACATCCCTCGGCAAAGCCAGGGCAGACGCGCTTCCTTTGTGAACATTGGCTAAAGTTGCTGCCCTCATAGCTAGACTATGTGGTTGAGCTACATTGCGCTTCTCTGTGTTCATTTTATGTGCGTACCTGCTGCTTAGAATCATGCGTGGAATTTGCGAGACTGAAGACCCAAAAGACGGGTGATCTGAGAGGATTGCATGCTCTCCCAATGTCTGCAGAAGCTTCGAAACAGCCGAGAGCTGTCGCGTGGCAGGTTTCAGGAAAAGCGGTACTTTGCCAATCATGCTTCTGTGCTTCCCTTGTGCATTTCCTAAGAGCTGGTCTCCATCAACCCATTTTCAAGAGACAGAACTGAGCAGTCTAACCAGGTACCCAAAGACAGGATTCCTCCTTAGAGCCCTTACGTATGACCAGGCTTGCCTTCTGCTTTGCCCATGCAGATTATAATGCTTAGGCAATCCTACAATGCTTGTGTAGCCTGTATCATTAAATGGCAAACCATCTAGAGAGTGCTTTAAGCCCTATGGTGGTGGTATATAAGCAGCACGCTTTGCTTTGCTTTGCTTGCTTCTGCTTCCTAAGAAATGAAAAGGAGCTTTGCTGGACAGAGCTAAAGCACAACAGCCACAGCACAAATAAAAGCTCCACATGCTATCTCCTAGGCTTAGCATTCCTTGAAAAACTAAGACTTACATGGACGGAGTGCTAAAGGCACCAACATTTATACCCACAAGTGAAGCTGGTGTGCAGCAAGCTTGGCAGTGAAGGCGGGGGGGGGGATCGCTGGACCTCCAGAACTTTGGGACTTGAACCACCTGAAAGGCCAGCTATGGGCTTGGTCGTGGTGGGCCTCCGCCACCTCTCTTCTAAATAAGCCAGAGTCCCTGCTCGTTCAGCTAGCCAAGTTCATTCCTACCCAACTCCACTCACCTGGTGCCTCCCACCTTGTGGGACACAACCCTACTGTGCTAGCAGGGGAGCATGGAAGTTTTAGACAAACCTGCATGGAGACCTGGCACGTTCTAGAAAAAGACTACAATACCCATTGTGCTATTTGGGAAGGAAAGGAAGAATCCAGCACACCTGGAGAGCAGCAGGTTGGAGAAGGCTGGTCAGCGCTGAACAGCAGGGTTTGATGCAGCCTTGCTGGGAGCTGCCACCTGTGCTCTCCAATACCCAAAGCAGCCGGTGGCTGCTGTCCTTACCTGTTAGAGCAAAATCAGCCCCCTATTATTTCCAGATGGCGTTTGGTTTGACGGGCTCTCTCTGGGCCAAGTGCTCATTCTGCCTGTTATTTGGGTTATGCTGCAGCTTGTTCAAACACACTTTAGTAGTTTGAAACTCCATTTGCCTTGTAGATTTTTCTTGAGAATGATGATTTATTAGTAGTAAAAAAAAATTGAAAGAGATTTTATTGTTATTAAGCGAGTGCTAGGGTAGCCAAGAGGCTGTTTCTTAACTACTTTAAAACACTAAGGCACATAGGAGTGTGAGAAGGAGGTGCTAAAATATGATTAACAGTATTTGGAACAGTGGGACTTCTTAAGTCAGCTGGGTCAAAAGCAAGGACTCTCCCACTAATACAGGTGGTCGTATTTACCAAGAATAGCTGTGCAACAACAGACTGAGGGCAGAAAAAGGGCAGGCAGCAGAAGTTGGGTGCCACCTTCCCTCCACCTGTAGCAATGATTCCCAGCCTTTGGCCCCCTGGATGTTCTTGGACCACGACTCTCAGAAAATCCGGCCAACACAACTGGGAAGGCTTCTGGGAGTTTTAGTCCAAGAACATCTGGGGACCCCAGGTTAGGAAACACTGACATCATCGGGTAGGACTCTCAGTCCTTGGAAAGGCAGTGCCCTCTTTCTGAGAATGACTGGACTAATGGAGCCATTTATAAGAAACATTCTTGTATCCCGAGACCACTTAGTGATCTGTCATACCCGCTTCCCACTCTCTTTGCTGGCATATTTACCTGCTGGCTGTGATAGCTCTTATGGGACCAGCAGAACAGAAAAATGGCAGGAAAACTGTAAAAGGAACAAACCTGTTGATGAGCTCCTTCTGTGACAGGGAGAGCAGGTCTGTTTATAACCAGACATAGCATGTTAGGTGGAGGCTTGGAGAGATGCTTTCATGCAGGTCCTGGGATCATTCCCTGTTATCTCCAGGCAGGGCTGGAAAGGACTCCCATCTGCCAGGGAGAGCTGCTGCTGGAGAGCTCTCAGGTGTCATGGAGCAAGCGTGGCCAACTGATTGGCTACATTATAAGGACACGTCATATTTCTAGTATTAAAATGGGAGATTATTTTCCTGGTTGTGAACACAATTGGGCAAGGTTCCTCCTTAAAGCACGGAAACAGAGCCAGACTCCATCTACCTCAGTGCCAAGGCAGATCACTGACAGCAGGACAGAAGGAGAAAGACAAGAATCATAGGTTTATTTGCAGCCAAGAGGAACGTCTGGTTGAGTGGTCACTGCATCAGGGCAAGAAAGAGAATCACCTACCACCTACATCTCCCCTGTGCCAGTCAGATTTTTTTAGCTCTGGTGGATGAAAGATGCAGACCTCCTAACTGTTGTGGATGTTGACCCTCCAGAACGCCAACTCAGTTTATCCGAGAGACCCAGAGGCTCTATCTCACACTGGTTAAGGGGGTCTCTTTTTTTTGAGGGGGGTTACAGCCTGGCTTCACCAGTGCTTTGCTTGACTAGAAGAGTGTAGCCCTCCAGAAAATTCCCAATAGCCAAATCCACCACTGCCAATGGTGAAGGATGATGTCCTCCTGTACGGGCAGCTTGCTGTATCTTCCTGTTGGGCTCTGACGAATCCAAGCCCCTCCGCAGCTGCAAACATGGTAGCCAGCAAAACTGCCATGGCATTCAGAATGCTCTCTTCTTTCCCCCATGTGATGGTGACAAAGCCTGCAGCTGGAAAGATTAACCAATCTCGTATGCTCTGAGTGTCACAAAGATCCCCACCCTGCCTGTCTTGGAAAAAGCCTCCCATGGAAAACCTTCTTTGGGGCTAGTTGCCCTAGGCTTGTTTTGACCCAGGGCATTTTGCTTTGGCTTCACTCAGCTGCTGAATGTTGCCCTCAAGTTTAGATTAGGCATAAAGGGAGTCCTTGAACTGAAAAACCCAGTATTTTAGCCTAGCCCTTCCCAATTTGCTGCCCTCCAGTTGTATTGGATCGTATCTTCCAGTGACCATGGTGTCTGGCAACGACAGGAGTTATTCTCCATCACATCTGGGGTATACCAGATTGGCGAATCCAGTCTTAGCTCATTCTGCTGTTCAACATTCATTTGTAACACAAGGGAGCAAAGTCTCAAAAACTGAGTGGCCCACACAGAAAAGGGGAGCTCAGAACCTCACTAGAAGCAAGGCAGTTCCAAAGTCCTTTTTCTACTGATGTGGGCATGCAGGCAGCTGGGTAAGTACCGCTGCACCATCCTTCCAAAATTCCCCAGGAAGATTCAAGGCAAGCAAGATTTTTCCACAGCACAGGAGGAAATGTAATTATTTACAGGAATGCTGCATGTGTGCATGGGGAAAATGACTGATCAGCAATAGCCGCTTTACTTTCCAGGAAAGCCTTATCCAAAAATATAAGAAGTAGCAGAACATTATTTTGTAGGGCCATTAGGGATATATATTTTAATTACGTGTATAGTAAAAAAAAAAACTTACCTCAGAACTAGTTGATGGGAAAAGTCCTCTGTGAAGGCTTTTAACTGAGACAGGGTAACTTCCTGATTGTGTTCATATCTCACTTGGAAGTTAGCATATTTAACCCAGATTAAGCAAGTAATATAAACTGCTGCAGTGTTAGGAGTGTCATCATCCTGCATCTGTGTCACATTATGGGTTGCAACCTGCATATGTGAAACAATGCGATTCCCACCACCACCTTTGACATGATGATCTGAGTACATGGAAAATACAGGCGCAGTTCCCAGTTCTGTCCCTTTAGCGAGAGAAGGCAAGCTTTCCGAGCCTTTCCTTTAGCAGCACCAGAGACAGTGCAAGCCCAAAAGAATACAGTAACAGGCTCTTATTACTGTGCAATTTGAGATGGCATCAGGTCGCTGAGCATCCTTTGGCTTTAGGGGAGCTGGGCGGCCAATTCATTGAAGAAGAAACACATACTGCATAAAGCAGAAAGAAAATCTACTCCCACTCTACATTTTATATATATATATATATATAAATATATACACATAGCATTCCTTTAAAAAGGGATCTAGGCATTATAATGGCAATACTTTTTTAAAGCAAGACATTTGTAATATTTGTTGACCACACAAACGTGGTCTAACCTTGTAAAAAATAAACTGAATTTCTGTCAGCTGTGCATTTCTCGAACGCAATGCTTTGTAAACCTTGAACTGTCCTCAAACTGATCACTGGTCATGAAAATCTCTGTCAACAGAGAAGCTGCCTAGGGCACCCAAATGCAGTTACTTCTCCCCCTCTCGCCAGTTCTGGTTGTTGGGGTGGGGAACATTATGTTGAATTCAGTCCCATTATACACTGAAATGTTTTACCAACTCTCTCTAATCCAGTAGCAGATCTTGAAGACTCGCAACTTTACAGTCACTGAACAAAAACCACGTTGATGTACCACCCTAATCCCACCCTCCTCTTGTTACCTGGAGAGTCCCTGTGCTATGTCCTAGGTTACACAGCCTTGGCAGGCAAGTTCTCCCTCTCACTCACATCTATTAGGTCATCAAAGGGGATGTCCCATTAACCTCCAACACAAAGTAAAAAAAGGGGGGGGGTGTTTAGTGTTTAGAGACCATTCATTACTCACCCTTCCCTGTAGTCTCGATCACGCCACTTATCCCTAGAGTGCAATGTGAACAACATAACATTAAAAGTTCTGACAGTATATAGTTTCACAATAAAAGCACATGAAGGGGAGCAGCAAATGATTCATATTTGCATCTTAAATTGAGCCATATAATTTATTCTGTGTAATACTTATATACTCTACACACGATGTCCATTTTAATCATCTTCATGAATCTCAAGTGCAATGTGTTACTTTAAAACAACAAATGTCCACAACAGCATTGCTCCAAAGAAGTCCACTCCACAACCCTTAACAGTCCCCTGTGATTCTTTATTAGAATTCCAATAATGAATAGTTTTAAATCAATCTTAAAAAATATTCAAGGTACAGAATGTGCAGACAGTACAAAGCAATTTACAAAAAAGACTCAAAAAATATCTGAGGAAACAGATAAACGTTACAGAGTGTGAGAAACAAAGATGGACTACAGCAATGCCCTCTGTGTGCCTCACACGTCATGAGCACCGCAAGACCAACAGGCTGGCTGAGAGATTCAGCACTTCTTTGTGCGTGCCCTCCTCACGGAGGTCCAACAGGCTGGCTGAGAGATTCAGCACTTTGTGCGTGCCCTCCTCACGGAGGCGGCAGGAAGGAAAGGGACACAGTCTGGGCCTGAGGCATCCTTGCGAAAAGCTTCCTTCCTCTCCTCTCCTCTCCAAGCCTGGAGACCTGGGGTGGGGTGGGGTGGGGGAGATTCGCCTCGCCTCGCCTCGCCTCGCCTGGAGACCTGGGGTAGGGGAGATACTTTCTCTTCTGAATCCAACTTTTCCAAAACTTTCTCTTCTGAATTCAACTTTTCCAAATAGACAGAGAGTGTGAGTTACGTGTTTTAACATCCCACCTGAACAGAGATTTAGAAGAGGAGCGACTGCTTGCTGCAAGCCACAAAAATGCACAGGAGAAAAGATTCCAGAAACACCTCCGGCTCTAAAGAGCCCCAAAAATCCTGCGCACAGACTGAGCCGAAGGGAGGAATTTCTAGCCGCTCAAGTGCTACTGGCCAAAAACTAGTAAAACAACAGACCTCTTGCCAGGTCTGCAAAGCAGCCGACATGCCTTGAGAAGCTAATGCACTTAGGAGAGCCAACAAAACCAGTTTCGAAGGGGATTCAAATGAAAAGGACTGGATTTCAAAGACAGGTGAGGAGTCATGATCCTCACTTCCAAGCATTCTACATGCCTTTGGGCTTTTCCCTGTTTTGCTGAACAAGCACTACTGCACCAACCAACATACCAAATGAACCATTAGAGGCCCAGTTGTGACAAGCACTACTGCACCAACCAACATACCAATGAACCATTACAGGCCCAGTTGTAACATTAAATACTACAAGCCAGAGATGCTAGCAAGCAAAGCAAGTGAACTACACAGCTCATGTCCTCATTTTACAGAAGGCATCCCCCACCATCCCATTGGGCCTGAACACAATTAATTTAATTTGCACAGAGCTACCCCTCTACATGCAGTGACCATCTCCCACTTACTTGTATGAGGGTGTGAATGTGACTGCTGTGTTTGAATCAAAATCTACCTAAATATATCTGTGTGCGTTCAATGAACCATCTTCAAGCAGTGACACTACTGCCAATTTGGGGAACATTAGTAAGAAGCAAGCAGGCTTGGGGTGTGGTGGGGCTTAGCCCTTCAAGTAATGTCATTTGCAACCCCTTACTTTTTAAGCCAAGTTACCCAGAATGACTACATTTACCAACATATCTGTAAATAACTGGGAAACTATACCTACAAGATTACTACTATTAGCCAGAAATAACTGTAGCCCCTAGAACCTGTTGGTACTGGGAAGTTTAGGCGGAAACCAAAGGCCAAAAGAAACTGTACACTGTCCTTTCCACAAGATATGCAGCATCTACTTACTGGAGTTGAAAGGATATTTAAAAGACTCAGGTCTCTCATACGCTCAGACTTGCAGGACAACATTCTGAATTGTAGAGATTATTGCAACTTAATCTAGTTCTCTGTTGAAATGAACCAATATACTTCAAGTGGAGATCAGTTGCAACTTTTAAAAAATTGCCCTGCCTGGACTAGCATTCTGGTAATGCTGCAGCCAAATGCAAACAATGGATGATTCATAATACTGAAACTAAAGGTGAGGAGAAAGAGATAAAGACTTGGAGAAATTCAGAGAGAAGAACAAAACAGATATAATTGAACAGAAAAGCCATAGTAGGGAGAACCAAGGATGAGAAAATGTGGATTCAGGATCTATCTCCATTTTGGACCGGGGGAAATATACACAGCTTTTGAGGAATGAAATTGGTTTATATATTTTGACAACACTGCATCTTTGGTTTATTTTCCGTAGTCGGGGGGACATGGATAGGGACCACGTTGTTGCTTGGAGACATGTCATTCTCACGTCTGTCTGACATCTGCTTCTGCGACACAATGCGATAAATCTCTGAAAGTGAGAGCAAAACTTTCATTATTACAGATTTAGTGCTATCTTGCACTCTGAAATTCTGGGCTCAAATGTACTCTCTCTTGCTCCCTGCTTCAGAACAACCAGAAATTGCTATTATTGGAAGCTGGGCTATCAACTTATTCCAATTCTTTTCTTGGCACAGAAAAGTGACAGGGGATGTAATTGTTTCTGGGTATTCCATTTTATAGAAGGTGGATGTGATGTCATGATTTGCTTTAATATTATGCTTTGAAATGGGGTTGAGAAAATGAAACACTAACTCTCCAATTCAAAGAAGTTATTAAACTCAGTTGTTTTCCCTTGCCCACATACATTTCCTCAAATCCCTGTGTTGATCATCCAAGGCTTGGCCATAATGCCCAACGCACAAGTCTGCTGTGACTTCCTCTGAATCAACCACCAGTCTTGGGAGGATAATGGGCCACATGAACTAGATTGGTTGGTTGATTGCTTGATTGATTCATTCATTTGATTTATATCCCGCCTATCTGGACCACCAGACCACTCTAGATCTAACCTTTTTCAGAGAGGGGCTGCATTGACCCCATGAAAGTGTGAACTGAGTAGCCCACTTCCAATGCTTGCTAGTGCCTGTGGTTACAAAAAACTCCTCAAGGGTTGAACAAACAGGTGGGGCTGGTGGAAAGCAGGACTAAGAATACATGTGAGTGCACACATTCATGTCTACTGAGGATTAGGATTGCAACGGGGGGAGAAACCAGGGTAAAACCTCTTACCTCCAACTTACAAGTCTGGGGGAACAATCAGCTTTTCCTGCATTAACCATGATCAGTGATGAGAAGTGAAGGAGGGAGAATTTGGCCTCCCCACTTCAATGATCCTACACCGCAGGTTCTCTTTCTCCACTCCTAATAGCAATGTGAGGAGAGCCTCATTTCCACAATGCAAAATCTGGAAGACCTGAGCAGCAAGCTCTTCGTGTCGAAGGAGACATGTAGTGAGGGGCAAAAGGGCTCTTTTACACAAATGCAAGCGGCTCCCCTGCTCCTCACTCTCAGCTGTAAGCCAATAAATGTGGTGACCAGCACTGGTTGCTTGGTACGCAGAATGGTAAGAGTGGCACAGCAGTTCTAGGATCAAATGCTATCTTCTAGCAGAACTTCTGTGCTAAAAACTCAGTCCCAAGGGAACGAAATTCTACATGATACAAATTTGCAAGTGGTTTGCTTTGCCTAGTTCACCCGGCCTCTTCTAGTGATGGGAGGATTACTAGCTCTAACTCAGCAGGACAGTGTGTGCTTTGCATGCAAAGGATCCCACAGCTTCATTCCCTGGAATCTCTGATGAGGGCACAGAAACACTCCTGCCTGAAGCCCTTAGAGAGCCAAGGCAGTCCATGCAGACAGCACTGAAGCAAATGGAGCCATAGCTTGGCTTCAAGTCCTCCGTATTTCTCTGAGGATCCACAAACAGTGAGAAACCTGTTTCTGGTTTTATTTTCCCTATTGGCCACGCAAGGGTGGGAGGGCTGAAGAGATCTAAAGTAAAATCAAGGCACATCCTATTCAGAAAAGAAGATGAAGAAGAAACAGATCCTCTCCAAAGGAGAATGAAAATCAAATCACATAAAAGACTCAGTCAGAGATATTCCTGTATGATGGGGTGGGCAAGTTCTGGGGGGTCCAGACTCTTACTCCTGGGAGCCACTAGAGATCATACTAAGCGCAAATGCCTGGGGAAATGGGGGGGGGAACTAATTCAAAACAGCAGAAAAAGGGAATTCAGGAGGAGCCCATGGGCCATGCCTACTTGCTGCTAGGCAAGGTTTTCTCCTTGACACAGAAACTCTGCAACGTGAAGGAACACAATGAGGGCATTCTCCTCGGCTCTCTCAAAGGGAGGGGGGAGAGGTACACCATGGCTAATGGGTGAGGCTCTCCCTGGGACTCTTGCACCTAGAATAACACAATGGACTTACAGGAGCCTTCTTAGCTCTCATGGGTGGGAACTGCTCTGGTGAACAAGGCCAAAAAGGCCAGTGTCCTACTGTAAGTCCGCCTCCTCTCTCCCCACAGGAGCAAAGGAGCCACCCAGAGAAGCCAACAGCAGGGCACGAAGGGTATATGAGAAGGCCAAGGTTACCTGCGGCCATGAAGAAAGGCCTCCCTCCCAGAGGACCATCTCACCTGTCAGAATGGTCTGGAAAGCAGCTTCCACATTTGTTGAGTCCAAAGCGGAGGTCTCAATAAATGACAGGCCGTTCTTTTCTGCAGAAAAAAGAGAGAAGCTTGTCAGAGATGTTGTGAGTGGTGAGGAGGGAATCTCCCAGAGCACCTACAGATCACTAAGGCGGCCTGTGTAAGAGGCTTCCCAAGGCGTGCTTCTCTTTTGTGCTTTTACGATTTTTCTCTGCAGCTGGAAAGGTAGGAAATCTGATGCCAAATCCTTTCTGTATCTTTAGCTATGCTGCCATCCTCAAGGCCATGACAGTACATTGCACCTAAAATGGCATTTCCCTTCAAGACTACTTTAATTCTTAAGCCTCCTAATGTCCTGATATCCTATATGACCTACCTGCCACCAATCATTTCCTGCATACTTTTACTGTGCCGCTAGCCTGTAAAAAACCTTGCAAAGCTTTTGGCCCTCATCTCACTGATGAGGGCCAAAACAGATGCACCAAAAGCCTGCCTACTGCTCTTTCAGAGGTTTATGGAATACACTGCAGGTCCTTTTATTGTAGTTACAAAGCACTTGGCACTTCCATCTATCTGAAACAATATTAAGAGACCATAATTTTGGGCTCCCTTGTAGGAAAAGCCTTTTCCATCACATGGGCAAGAAAGCTTTAAACACTCAGAGGGGAAAAGGAAGAAGAAAGCTGGCAGGGATTCAAGGTTTTCTGCTGTAGATCCTCTTATTGTTTTTTCCTTAAGTGATTAGCAAAGTGTCACATGACCAATGAGGAGGAAACCTTGCAAACCTCATCAAATTGCATCTTTAATGCAATGAAAGAGGGCAGGTGTGTGTGTATGTGTGTGTGTCAAATTCTTCTGGGACTGAAGCCACAAAACACTACCCTTCCCACCCTCCTCTACCCCACCTCCAGCTGTAGGCATAAGTCCTTTGTTGACTGCAAGTGGCATAAATCAAGTATTTTTAATCACAATTACTGCCAAGAACCCTGAGCGACATTCCAGGGTGGAAGAAACTTGGCGTGAATGCCTTTCAGATTTATGAACAGGCCAGTGAGTTTAAATCACAACAGATGGCTCCACATTTTAATTGCTCCTGACCTTCAGGGAGTGGACTGGGGTGCTCAGTTTCTTATTTAATTTTTTAAAATCCTCACTGTTTCTATTGTGTGTATTCCGGCATTAACAAAAATATACTCCTCCCAATAAACATCCATTGAGGAGATCTATTCAGGGGGAAATAACTGCAGCAACCAACAAATTGAGTTCGTACCAGATCAGGAATCTGGGCAGCCAACCATGGAAGCCCATAGAAAAGAAAGATAGTGCTGAAGTCCAGGCTCCATGATCTGTACCCAAGATCTTCTGGAGGCAAAGCATATACTCAACAATACTTATAAGACTGGGCAGAGAAAGTACTATAGATGATCTCGAAAAAGTAGGGAAGAAGATAAGCTACCAGGCTCCATCGCAGACAAATTGTATTTGGCTGCAGCATGTCAGAAGGATGGACAATGTATAAATAGACAAGGGCTTGGCCATCATATAGAATCTCTTTAGACATCCAACTAGACAAGCAGACAACCTCCTGTGACTCGGTGGAAAAAGCAGTGAGGGAAAGCAAGATTACAGCAGTACCTGCCACTTCTGAAGGACTGAAATAAGCTTCATTTTCTATTTCAGCTGTCCAAGAAGCAATGATTTGGTCTTCCTAGGCTTAATTCAAGGTGCTGGCTTGACTCTGAAGCTCATGGGAGCAGATGAACTTAAAGGCTGCCTTCTCCCATGCAAACATGCTACCTACTGAAGTCTACCTTGCTTGGCTTCTTCCCTCTGCTAGCTTGAGGAATGTGGCAACCCATGACACAGCCTTTTCAGCTAGGCCCCCACGTTCCACGTCTGCAGTACGCTTCCCTGCATGGGCTTACCAGGGAGTGAGTGAGACAGACATTTCTGTCAATCCAGGTTCTTAAAATGTGAAGCATCACAAAGTTTTTTTTTCCATTTATACCCTATGTTTCTCCTCAAAGACTGATGACTACTTCTGAAGTTTTAACCTGCCTCTTGTTTTTACCTTGCTATTATATCTATTAATGAATCTTTTATTGTGAATTTTGTTGGCTGTTCTGAAAGGTTTTATTTCACAAGGTATATAAAAGACCAGAAACTAACATAAAATAAACACAGGGGCTTAGCTGGCAGAGATGCAAAAATAGCAGGCTTTTCCCTGGCTCTGATTTCATTTGCCAAATTAGTCAGCAAAGAAAATTTCCATTCACCAAAAGGGCAGTCCCTTCCCCTCGCCAAATTAGTGGACTGACCTTCAAGAAGACTGCAACTTTAATTGCCAACTCAACTGACTGGCCGCCAGACCAGAAAATTAACCCTAACTGAGAAAAATGCCATGTGCAGTACAACCTCTGCCCATCTGTGAACCCGCCCTGCCCTGCTCACCTGCAAATGCTCGGGCCTCATCTGTTGGGACAGCTCGCAGGTGACGCAGGTCGCTCTTGTTCCCCACCAGCATGATGACAATGTTGCTGTCGGCGTGGTCCCGCAGTTCCTTCAGCCATCGCTCAACGTTCTCATAGGTGAGATGCTTTGCAATGTCATACACCAACAAGGCTCCTACAGCCCCTCGGTAATAGCTGTGGACACAAGCAGAGACCGCCTGTGGGTGCACACCCGGCATCCGGCAGGCACAGTCTGGGTAACCGAACAGGCAGTCCCCTCCCTGCCCTAATCCTTGCACTGGCTAATGAGGGGCCGCGATGGCAGGGGCAGACAGATGATACCACTTCTGGTCAGTTCCACGTTACAGTGGAACTGGGATTACCACAACAGCAGAGACTCTGCTGCCTAATATTTAGCAGACCTCTGGAAAACGTCCACAGAGTTAAAGTTTACATCTTGGTGCCCTGACACTAAGAACTCTGGGTCAGCTGGCTTTTTTAAAGTCAGAAGAAGAAAAAAAACTCTTTCCATCTGACCACTTCAGACTTACCCCCAAACAGAGAAGCCTTAAAACTCTTACAAACAGACAATTCTGTAATTTTGCAAGTCTTTGAGGGATGAGAATTTCAAAGCTTCTTGAAAAACCCTTATAATTAAACTTATTTTGGACCTAGTCAATACGGAGGAATGCACTCCCAGGTGATCATAGAGGCAAGACACTGGTTAATCTGATATCCAGTAGAATTATCACATGAAAACAGGCCCATGGCCCCACCCCACAGTTGGGTCACTGTGGAAAAAGAAGACCCTTCGAAGGATCACTCACGCTGATGTGATGGCCCGGTATCGTTCCTGCCCTGCTGTATCCCATATCTGAGCCTTTATGGTCTTGCCGTCCACTTGGATACTTCGCGTTGCAAACTCCACACCAATGGTGCTTTTGCTTTCCAGGTTGAACTCATTGCGAGTGAAGCGGGAGAGGAGGTTGCTTTTGCCAACTCCAGAGTCTCCAATCAGAACAACTGGAAAGATAAAAAGGGAACATCTTTAGAAAGGCTCCAAAGAACATTCTTCCCTTCCATCGCACCCATTTAAGTAGACAACCACCAGAGCAGAAATCGGTTCGTGCAATGAAAAAGAAGACACTATCCAAGGTTCTGCGTCTAAGGTTGTGCCTTACAGCTGTGTCTGTGTATATGAAAGATGGTTGCCCTTGCCTGCAAAAACTGATTTAAAAAAATCAAGCATTGCCCACCTTTGTGAAAGATGTGTCAACACCTTCCCAAAAATCAATACAAAATCACAGAATTGAGGAAGCCCCTCACAGCCTATATCCGCTTATTACTCACTGTATCTGCAGGGTTATGAAACATCTTCCACCCAGCCAGAGTCCCTTCATGTGCTTTGCTGTACAACTCTCATCACCCCATTCCACTCGACCAGCATTCAGACTGACCTGACATTACTGGTGCTTCAATCCAATATTTCTGGCTGCACCAGGCTTGTGGAGCCCACCTGGAAATTATGCCTATCAATGGCTACTAGTCAGAATGGTCCTATATTGAGTATATATTTTAATTCTATTTTAATTGTTTTATCTTTTTAATGTATTTTAATTGTTGTAAGCCACCCAGAGACGTTTGGGTAGAGTGGGAGGCATATAAGTCAAATAAATAAATAAACAAACAAACAAATCACTTATTGTATCAGAGACAATATGCTTCTATTGCTGGGGTCATGAAACGGAGGATACAGGCTCACTCATGCCTTATGACTGGGCCTTCCAGAGACATCGGTTTTTCCACTGTGTCAACAGAAACTGGGACTAGATGGATTTTTGGCCTGATCCATATGGGCTTTTCTTTTGCTAAAAAACTGCTCTGACACAGAGAAAATAAATTTCTTCAGAAATAAACAAGACAGAACATTAACAGCTTAGTTACCCTTTCTTTGTCAGTCATCCCACTTAGTAATTTAAAGCCAATTCAATATTCTGGAAGAGTATATGGACTAATATGTTCAATATACAGTACTAGTATAATGCACTCTCAAAATCATTTGATTTAGACAGTTATAGAAAATATTAAATCATGCATGTTCCCACATCTAATATAAGGAGTTAAATACCATTGTTTCAGAATGTTCCACGTATGCACAATTGTAGCTCTCAAACATCTTTATATCACCTATAAACAAAATATTTTTAAGTGGTATAACGAGTTAACATGAAATTAGAAGATAGCATTGGAATAAAACCAAAGTAAAACAACAGAGAGAACAGTAGTGCTGCAGACCAGTGTTTCCCAAACTGGATGCCGTGACACCATGGGGTGTCGGGAAACCCACCCAGGGGTGCCACAAAATCCTCTCATCCTTCTCTTCTCCCTCACCCAAAGTATAGTACAGCATTCACTTGTAGTTTGATGTCCATGCATGGTGGAGAGAACCCTGGCGCAGTCTTGCCAAAGGACTACATTTTCTGCTCTCCAGCTTGCAAGGGAGCCTTCCCTGCCACCACCTCCGCCTCCCCACCCAAAGCAGCGTCTTCATTTTTCTGGAAGCTGCTTCCCTCAGAGAAGTCAGTTCTTGACAGCCTTTCCACCTGTATATTGCATAGTCTCTGGTTCCATCTCGTGGCTAGTCCTGGTAATACACCTTGAAAATGTATATTAATGTGCTGATTTTTTTTTTAATTTTTTAATAATTTCTCAGGCAATTAATATGTGAAACTCTGGGTATTGATTGTGTGGATATGGCAATCCTAGTGTAGTAGAAAGCCGCAGGCAGTGACCAGTAAGGAAAGGGAGCCACAAGTCAAAAAGATTTGGGAACCACTGTTGTAAATCTACAATGTATGAATACCAAGATGGTGATAGATTTCTGGAACCCAGGTTTAGGGCAGCATGTAGAAGTTGCCAAACCACCAAACAGAAGCTAGCTTCCTGACCCCTATCTTTCTTCCCCTGATATATCTCCAATCTGTGATCACCAGCAACAATAGCAGGAATGGCATGTAATAAAGCTTCCTTACCCTCCTTTAAGACCGAAGGAGACATTCAGAGTGCTCCTGCTGCAAAAGGTCTCCCTTCAATAAACCCTGTCTTCAATAAATGAAAGATTGGTGGATGAGATACCCACACAAGAATTAATACAGTCAATTTTATGTGGAAGGAATAACCATTACATGAACTGCTGGATAGCTCAGTGGTTTAGGTATCTGGCTGCAGAGCCAGAGAGTGGGAATTTAATTCTCCACTGTGCTTCTTTGATGGGGGCTGGGCTTGATGATCCATAGAGTCCCTTCCAGCTCTACAATTCTAAAACTGATTGACAGTGATCTCTACATCCTGTAGCAATGAGTTCTGCAGTTTAACTATTATAAGAGGGATTTCTTTTTATTTGCCTTGAATTTCCCAACATGCAAGTGGATAACTCTGGGTTCTTACGTTATGAGAAGGAGAAAAGCTCATACACATCAAAATCTAAGAATTACAAGATGGAATTATACTTTGCCTTTCCAAGACCGATATTCTGACTTACTGAATTTCTCCTTCTTTTGTCCACTTTTCAACTCCTAAACTGCTATAAACAAAAGCAAACAGAGATTCCTTTTAATTCATTATGGAAGTTCTCTCTCGCCTCACTGACAATATTCATTGTGCACTCTGCCTTCCTGAGCCAAACCTGCCCCTTCCACACAAGGTAAAGTCCTTGATCACAAAGGCAGTGGCAGTGCCTGCCACCTCCCCACCATCACCAAAATGAGTCACTTTCAGCTGACTTAGCAAAACACAAGCCAAACTGCAACACTGGAACAGACCCATTAACTATTTATGCTCTTTCTCAGCAGGAAGAAATCAGGTCAAACTACATGGAAGTTTTGATGCCAAACCTCCAACCTCAATGCAATCATCAGGGGCTCCGAGAACTTCAAGTGCCTCCTTGGCATTGCAAGGGAAGAGTTTGCCAAAGGCCTTGGTAAATCAAGGGAAGTCAATTTGTTTCATTTTCCACAACAATTGATCTTCAAAGGTTTCACAAAAACAAACAAAATACATAACTGCAATATATTATAACCATAGCTCAATTACAACATTGAAAAAAATCTAAAGAATTTTCTAAAATTCAAGTTAGAGCATCACATAGTGATACTAAGTCAATGGCATTCAATCCCAACAACACATCAATTGACACTTTGCATTACACAAGTCAATGAATGGGATGCTAACAAAACCAAATGCAGCACCCTGCTTGCGCTGAACAAGGAAAAGATAACTGAAGTACCTACACAGCCCATTCTCTAGCAGCAGAAAGAACTATCCTGTCAAAAAGGTAAGCTTCTGCCCATGGCTACTTGTCGGCTAAGCAGCAGTGCCATAGACATCAAAGCAGAAAAGTCTAATCTGAAACTATTATATTTTACATGCATTTCTATATATTATAGAAATAATAGTTAATAATATATAGAAATAATAATTTCTATATATTATAGAACTGGCTGCAGGTGCCAGTGATCTTGCAGACCCAGTGCCAATGACCATCCTGCGCTCTGGAAACTGCTGCTTTGATTCGCCACAACTCAGAATCAGCCTCATCTTGCCCATGCAACAAGCAGAGGAGGCGTGATCCCATTTCACCTTCATAACAATCCTGAGGTAGGTCGACAGGCCGTCTGTAGGTCATCTGGAAAGCCTGTTCAACCCAAGCTACCTTGCCTTTATTTGACAGTGTATGGAGTGCCCTACACTGGCCCTTGACATGGTGTGCCACTGAGAGTTATGAGTGTTGCAGAACTGGTTTTACAGAAGCATTTTGGTGCTCCTGGTTTCCTTCTCCATATCCAGAAGGCCAGCAAATGGCAAGGACTACCCATCCCAACAACAGGCAAAGGCATTCTTTATTTATTCTCAGTAAACTCACCAGTATGTGCCCTCAGATACAGTACTTGTGCTTGCAAGATGCTCTTTGGATACAAGGGAAATATGAACAGCCTGGCATCTCATTTTTCAGAGCCAGCCCAATCTTTAACAAGATAGTTCCTCTCTGCCCAGAGAAATCTCTTGGTCTTTTCAGGGTGCTAATAGAAATCAGGCCTGAATAACTCACAGTGAAACCTATCAGCTTGAAATATCAGTTGCTGCTTGTTCTACCTGCCTGGTGCTGACAGGAGAGAAAGGAGGCGCATGGGCAACATCTACTCATTCTGTATATTAACCACCCTTCCTCCAGGGATGTGGAGCATGTGGTTCTTCCACCTACTCCTTTATGACCACAACAGTCTTGTGAGGTAGGTTCAGCAGAATGTGTCTGACTTAGTGGTTCAGCTTCACAGCTGCATGGAAATCTGATTATAGACAATCCAATGTTTCAACCACCAACCAGCTGACAGGCGGTTATAGTGAACAAAGAGCCTGGTGGCGCAGTGGTTAAACGTCTGCACTGCAGCCAAAACTGCTCATGACCCAGGGTTCAATCCCGGCTCAAGGTTGACTCAGCCTTCTATCCTTCCGAGATTGGTAAAATGAGTACCCAGCTTGGGGGGGGGGGGGGGGGGAGGGAATGTGTAGCCTCCATAATTAACTTGTAAACTTCCCAAAGAGTGCTTGAAGCACTATGGGGCGATATATAAGCAGCACGCTTTGCTTTTTTTTTAATTGAAGGAGGCCATGTTAGATGTTCTTTGAAGCAGAGCTTCTGTGAAAGATGGACGCAATGAAAAGCCACCTAAAATAGCCCAAGATAGAGGCAACTACATGTAGGAGAATTCTAAGAATTTTTCAGTACTTCTAACATTTCAGTAGTAATACCTTGAAGCAATTCAACATCTGTGAGCCTACTAACTTTTCTTTTAATGAAATCCTCAATTAATTAAATGCACTGCACAATCACATTTATACATGAAAACCTCCAGAGATTTATGTGTGGAGGTGAAACGTATCCCTAGTGTCAAAGACCGAACTGGATAGGAAGAAATGTGGTTAGGAATTTTCTCAATGGTAAAGAGAGAGAAAATCTACAAAAG